TGTGGTACCAAGGGTGTGGCATAGGGGTAGGATTAAAATTAGGGGACTAGGTAAAGTTATAGTCTGGTCAGAAATTTTTGGTATTATACAATAAGATTAGATCTAAAAAAAGTACCATTGTAGGTGAAATATATTTACCAAAACATCTTCAGTCGTGCATTGTTTCTCAGAACATTTTTCCTGGTTTCTCATTATCAGTAGAATGCTTTCTCTGATACCTTTATTGTCACTTCAGAACTGTACCTTTTCCTCTTAGCTTATGATGAAATAATCTTAAAAATTAATTGATGCCCTGGGAAAATAAAAAACTCATAAGTAGTCAGTCTCTTCTCCCCTGAATAAAGGAAATCACTGATGCAACCAATACTCCGTGAGTCTAAAAGCATGGTGGCAAGAATTAGCCTGGTAAGGGTTGGTTTGCTTCTTCTAGGGTAGAAAGAAAGGAAGAAATTGGGTTTAGGAATATATTTTGATACAGAATAAAGGGAGTTAGGGAGCACATACTCATGTGGTCATCACAATTGTGACAATGAAATGGATATATGAGGAAGATTTAAATAAAGTATGTGTACAAATTGGAAAATGAATATTACATTTGTTTGAAATATCTAAACCCATAACAATGTGATTCTGCCTTCATGAGTTAAAGTGACTCATTGTCATGAAAAATAATACATGAGGTCAGCCAGAATTATTTAATACTGTTAGGATAGTCATCTTGGATTCACTTTCAAAGTATATGAAAGTTGAATCATCTTCCTGAGGCTTGTTAAAATCAATAGGGTAAGGGAAAAGTTGGGAGATAAGTGGGACATGGGGGTTAATAAGCATGGACTTAATGCCTACCTAGGTGGAGTGGGTGCCTAACTAACTTGGTGTGATTTAAAAAGGCATCAGAAAGATTCTGGTTATCCTGAAATGTTTTAAGACCTACCTACCTGACACCATGTCATCTCCTCTCTTAATTAAAGTTTCTATCACTAAATGTCTTCAGTGCATCCTCTCTCTTATCTCTCGCTGCCTCTCTCTCTTCTTTCTGTGGTATAGAGAAGGCAAGTACAGTATTTTGAAATTGTTTTGAGCTGTGTTATATGCCAACTGGCTAATTCACCAGGTG